TTAATCACAATCAAAAAAAAAAAAAGAACTTCGGGGAAGGGAGGGAGGGAGGGGATGGTAGGGGGAAAACAATGGAGGGGCTAACAATGTTCAAGAGGAAGTGTACTCATTACCTCACTCATGTAACTGTAACCCTCTGTATAGTATCTTTACAATAAAAAAAAAAAAGAAATGTGAGCTCTGCGATTTCATTCTCACTGAATTGTCCCTGCTCAGCATTGTGTAAACAGCCTCCTACCACCATCACTAGCTGTCTCTTCTCGAACAGCTTCCCTGATTGTTAATGGTGGCCCAGGTAGCCCTTATTCCTGCCTCCTTTTTGCTTCATGTAGGCCGAGCTTAATGCAACAGGCTGTGTGAACCTAGCTAAGCTGTCTTGACATTACTCAAATGCCTGACCTAGTGCCCAATATGAAACTCTGAATAAGAGAATAAATATAGTTTTTTGAAGACAGTAATTATATGAGGAAGAATAATACAGTAAAATCTAAAAAAAAAAAGAACAGGCTCCTAACTTGCAAAAAAAAAAAAAACTTAAAATTAGTTCTAAAGTTAGCACTTAATCTTTTAAAAATAATTTTGCTAGTCCAAGAATATCTTTCTATATGAAAATACTTTCAATATGAACATTACAAATGCACAAAACTCTACTAGCTATGTAAGCAAAATACTTGATTATGTTACTCATAGCTAGGAATTATAAATGGCTAATAAATGATAATAAAAAATCACTCTAGGACAGGTATGGTGGTATATACCTATAAGCCCAGCACAAAGGATAGTGAAGCAAAAGCTCATGAGTTTAAGGACAGCTTTGGCAACTTATCAACAATCTTGCCTCAGCCAGATGCCGCTGGCTCGTGTCAGTAATACTAGCTACTCACGAGGCTGAGGTCTGAGGATCACAGTTCAAAGCCAGCAAGGACAGGAAAGTTCATGAGACTCTTATCTCCAATAAACTACCAGAAAACCGGAAGTGGCACTGTGGCTCAAGTAGTAGAGCACTAGCCTTGGGCTGAAGAGCTGAGGGACAGTGCTCAGGCCCAGAGTTCAAGCCCCATGACCAACAACAACAACAAAAATCTTAAACAAAAATCAATACACCAATACCAACATCTAAAAGCCCAACAATAACCAAGTACAATTCATCAGAATTCTTATCATAAAATCTGGTAAGAATTCATAGACTACGGTGAAAATTGTAATACCTTCATATACTCATGCACATATATACATACAAACATATCCAAGCCTGTGTGCCCTTTTACCCAAGGATTCCACTTCCAAGAAGCAGAGATGTGATTGAATATTGGCATGAAAAAGATGGTTAGCTATCTCACAGCAATGAACTCGACACTCTTTAGTAATGGGGAAACTGATCAATAAGATGAATTATTGTGCAGCTTTTACTGTTTGCAGAAGCATACGAAAATACAATACAGTTACAGGAAAAAAAAGCAAGAAACAAACTGATTATATGCTTCTACATATACAAAAGAAAGAAACTAGAAAATAAATTACCAAGTAGTAAAACATGGTAGAACATTTCCAGGTTCATGCATTTCCTTTCCTCCTTTTGCCTTTTAATGCATTTCAAGTTCTATTTGATGAACACAGGAATACAGTAAAAGCAAGACTCTTTTTAAGATTCACAATTTTTTTTTCTGGTCATGGGGCTTGTCCCTGGGCGCTGTCCCTCAGTTCTTCAGGTAAAGGCAAATGCTCTACCACTTGAGCTACAACACCACTTCTGGTTTTCTGGTGGTATATTAGAGATATGAGTTTCATAGACTTTCCTACGCAGGCTGGCTTTGAACCATGATCCTCAGACTCAGCCTCCTGAGTAGCTAGGATTACAGGCCTGAGCCACTGGCGCCTGGCAAGATTCACAATCTTGAGTCTTGTGCTTTTAATATGCTGACACAGGCACTGGGTTGGGAGTTCATCCCCTGCACATTCAGTACCTGGCCTGGAGCCCACAGGGAAAGTATTGCTGCCACTTCCTTTAACTCTTTCAGTGCATGAATGACCTCAGTATTCTCTTTACCCTTTTGCATTAGGAGTGAGATTGGATGATGCTAGTCTACCAATGGTAAGCTGTTTTCCCAAGCTTTATTGAGGTTCAACTGACAAATTACAGTATACAATGTGACATTTAGATAGATACATAAATTGCGAAGGATCACTATAATCAAATTCATATATCTATCACTTCTACTAGTTTTTTTTGTGAGATCTACTTCAAGTATACTGTATTATTAACTGTGGTTACCATGGTGACAATAAATCCAGAATTCATTCATCCTGTCTAAAGGTAGTTCTTCCCTGTGACTAGCATCCACAATCTTGTGTTATAGCCTCTGCTAACCACTATTCCATTCTCTGCTTTTCTGAGTTAGACTTGTCTGTATACAATGAGACCACATAGTAGTTACCTTATGTGATTGATACATAAGTGTGTATTTTATATATTTATATACACATACAATTTTATGTACTTATACATACAATATTTTCTATACCATTCATGCTTCAGTGTACACAGTTGATTCTATTCGTTGGCTGTTATGGATAATGCTATATTGAATGCACGTATCTCTTTGACATACTGATTTCATTTCACCTGGGTGTATACTCAGCTATGGAGCTGCTTAATCATGTTAACTTGGTTAATGTACGTTTCCACCAGCAGTATTCAAGGGTTTCTTTTCTCCACAGCCTTGACAGCACTTACTATCTTTATAGTCTTTTTTTATAATAGCCATTGTAACATCATTTAATTTCCTTAAGCCAATAGGCTGTTTGTTTTCTTTTGAGAAATGTTTATACAGGTCTTTTGCTCCCTTTTAAAATCTGCTTATTTGTTTTCTTACTATTGAGTTGTTTGGGTTCCTTATGGAATTTGGACTGACCCCTCATTAGATATAGTTTGAAAAATGGTATGAAGCTTGTAATCAGAGTGTTCTGCCATTCACGCAGCAACCCTGACCTCCGGAGGACGGAGCCCATCTTGGAGAGCCCCTTGCAGAGGACCAGCAGTGGCAGTTCCTCCAGCTCCAGCACACCCAGCTCCCAGCCCAGCTCCCAGGGAGGCTCTCAGCCTGGGTCACAGGCAGGATCCAGTGAAAGAACCAGAGTTCGAGGTAATTCTTTTACTTTTCCCTGGACTATTTCCTGGGAGGAGAGCTGGGGCAGGGAAACTGTCACTTCTGACTCATGTCCTGGTATGGCCTCCATACCTTCAGCTGCTTCAGCCTTAGTTTCCCAATAGTACAAATCTACCATCCCTAATTGTATGTGAGACATCAAGAGTATGGAAAAATCTCAAATCTTAGGTACTAATATTTTCCAGGGACATCAGTAAATATGGTTACTTACCATTTATCTCAATTTCCATTCTCATTTGATTTCTTCTTAGAATTTCATATACCCACAAATGTCCTGTTTTCATTGCGTCAACCATGCTTTTTAGTCTTCTAAACATAGTTCATAATTCCAGGTATTTCTCAAAATAAAATTCCATAAACACTAATGTAGAATGAATATACTTGAAAGAAGAAATAAAGTCTTTGACTTTAAAAATGCATTTTACGCCTGGCGCCAGTGGCTCACACCTGTAATCCTAGCTACTCAGGTGGCTGAGATTTGAGGATCACAGTTCAAAGCCAGCCCAGGCAGGAAAAGTCCGTGAGACTCTTATTTCCAATAAACCACTAGAAAACCAGAAGTGGCACTGTGGCTCAAGTAGTAGAGCACTAGCCTTGAGCTGAAGAGCTGAGGGATATGGCGCAGACCCAGAGTTCAAGCCCATGACCAAAAAAATGTATTTGACTATTCTGGTAGATAGGTAAAAATTAGCCTTTTGAAGTATTTAATTCAAATCATTCATCATTGTTTAGTTTTTACTAATGAGAAACCCCACAAAACAGTATTAATTGTACAGGTGATTATGCATAACACTTTGTTTCTAGCTGATCAAAATTCACTTTCTGAATCACTGTCTTTGGAAGAAAATTTTGCTTCCAAGTGATTAAGACTAGAACATTTTGAAGTGTAATATGATAAGTATTAATAATTGTACAAATACTGTCTCTGATGAAAGCTAACCATTCTTTCTTAGCTTCTTCAGTAGAAACAACCATAATTTATCTCTAATATAGCTTTTAAATTTCAAATAAGTAAAATTTCCATGTTTCTATTTTTTACAAATCCTGACTTCTAACGTGATGTTTACATCTGCAACTTGGGACCTAGACTGGCCCATGGCTACCCCCCTAATGTATCCTGTGACAGATACTAGAGCTAGCCATGATCCAAACAAATTTTTCTTAACCTAGAAAATGCTTATTCCTTACCATTTTTCTATTCACAAGCAACTTCATATAGTTAAAGCAAATACTAAAGAAAACCAAACTTTTATACATATGTGTATATATATAAAATGCTTAATGTGCACATATGCACATATATGCATGCACATTACCCACACATATATTATATATTTATACACATTAAGTTATATATGTATTATATTTGCACACACAGAAATACACATACATATATAATTTGAATTCTCTGATCTTGTTCAGGCTTACTTCATACATTCTTTCCTTTAGCCTCTAGTTCCTCTGGCTTAAAATAGCTGTTGTATTCCTGGTATGTCTCTGTCTAGGAAAAGCCACTTTAAAACTAAACAAGAAACTTTCCTATTCTAGTCTGTCTGTGCACTTATCTCTGAGTGCATAAACCAGACAGAAGCTCCATAACTTTAAGAAGTCTCTCCCATGCTTCCTTTTCCTTTTCTTCTATTACCCTTCCTGTTTTATTACCAGTATCTTGCCTGTCCTACCTGATTCTTCTTCTTTAAAGGCCCTAGCCACTCCCTAGCCCCATTTAGAAACCATTCCACCAAATGGGATTTCCTTTCTTTTTTCCCCTTAAAATCCCATGAAAGTAATCTATTTCAATGAGTAGATAGTGAAGGAAAAAGCAAAGCTTAGAAGCTTCACTTACGATGTGGCTTAGCAGAGTGAATGAGAACAAAACTTTCAGAAGCCAGAAAGAACACAGTTGAATACATAATTTTCATCACCTCAGGCTGGTGTTACCATCTTTGTAAATAAGAATTCAACTATAACTTAGGAGGACAGTGCCTCACCAATGGGTTGGAGCAAGGATTAAGTAATATAATTGACAGAAAGCATTTAACATCAGACCTCAATGGGGTAGCAGTGGGAATTGCTATCATTTTTCTTAGTGTTGCCAATAACCTCTAGGTTACAGGCCTCAGTGCATCTGCTTGGTTTTGTTTCCTGAACATTAATTCTTTTTTCATGAATGCACTTGTGGATTTGCCTGAGTGAATGATATGTGCACTGAACAATCTGAAGGGAGACTTCACAGGTGACTCACTCAGAACATGCGTCAGCGCTTTTTGATGGTTGTGCTGTATTTTTCTCCATCCTCTGTTTTTCCTCTAGCCAACAGTAAGTCGGAAGGGTCACCTGTACTCCCACATGAGCCTTCCAAGGTGAAACCAGAAGAATCCAGGGACATTACCCGGCCCAGTCGACCAGCTGTGAGTGCTTTTATCTCTCCCAGTTCAGAACTCCTAACTTACCAGAGAGCCCACAAGATAAAGTAGCTGGGAATACACTCATGACTGTGACAGAAATTGTTGAGCTCAGTAAGAATGGATGCTAGAAGCACCTAGAACTTTATACCTGATTAAGAAAGAACTAATCTTAGTTTGCTTCCTCTGCTTTTGGATATTTTGCTAATTATCAGTGCCTCTTTATAGAGGGAAAAAAAGACAGGAAAAATAAGTCATAGCATAATATCTGCTCAGCAACTTGGGCAAAAAAATGATAAAACTAGCAGTTCAGGACACTTAGCTACTATGGCTTTGTCATATATTCTATGTATTTCCCTATATAGTCATATGAATTACATCAGTTTTTTTGCTACTTTATATGCCTTTAGGAACTGTCTTATGGACTAAAATTACTGTCCTTTATGGAATAAAATTAGATAAGCACATGACAGAGGATGAAAACTTGACCTCTAGTTTCATCACTGTTACATAATGGACCACCAGTAACCTTAAAAAAAGAAATAAGAGTACACAGGCTAAAATTTTCAAGTGGAAGCTTGTAAGGTGGGATGCGTCATTATCCACTTGTTTTATTTATTTCTCAAGACACTATCCGATAGGGCAATGAAAGCCTTTGGGTTTACCCTTTTATGTTTGCATCTTAAAGTAAGAAGTGTGTATTGAGTAATGATGAAGAGAACTTACATCGCTCTGAGTTCTTTGCATTGCCCTTTATTCTTTATCGGTTTGGTACTAACAATTCCTTTTTCTTTTTTTTTTTTTTGTCTAACCTGCTTCCTTTTCTTTTGGCTTCTCCCCTTCTGTGGATTCCTCTGGATTGGGTTCCTCTTACCTCAGAGCTATAAGAAAGCTATAGATGAGGTCAGTATTGTCTTTTCTTGGTCATGATTTCATAAAATATAAATAGGAAAGTGATATCTATCCTGTTGCTGATGTTCAGAAAGGCAGCCAGTGGCATCAGCTTGTACACAGTCATCTTCTGGAAGGAGAGCCCTTTCACCACAAGCCAGCCTGAGACCTACTCAGATAAAGCTTTAGAGGCCTTTCCACTAAGAAAAACTGTCACTCTTCCAATGATCCTGACTGATTAATAACAACTTTTAGTGCTTTATCAATGGCACTGCTTCTCCTTCCAGTAGCAAACCTATACTGAACAGCCTAACTAAGAGATGGTTCTCAGTGGTTTTGCTAAGAGAGAAAAGTAGTATCATTTAGCATACTCCAAAATTTATGGTATGTGCTTTGTGAATGAGTAGTTACTAGATATTGTTAGATTAATTTTATGGAACATTAATAACAGTAGTAGCAGCAGCAGCAACTGCATTTAATGAATATTGGCAAGTTGAGTGACTTTATTTCCTTATCTGTGGAGACATTTTTTTCTATTAGAAAGAATATATGGCTTTGTCAGTCACAGGTAGCTTGCTAAGAAGAATGACTGCCTTACTGCTGTTTGTCAGACCTGCATGAATACAGCACAGTGAAATTATTTTTAAGAGCCAGGCCTTGCAAAGAGTCCTACCTGCATGGAATCTGAAGACTACCATTATTATAGCATCCAGGCTGTAGCTCTGCTGAGCACTATTTGTGTCAAATTTTATGGAAAAAGCACTGGTTTAGAGGATTAGCAAGCTGCACTTAAATCTTGCCCTTCCCCCAAAAATAGCTGGCTTTGGGCCAATTCACTCATCTGCAAAATGGGAATAAAAATAAATGATCAGCCTAATTGATAAGGACCACTCATGGTGATGTGAACTAAAGTGTTATGGAAAGCCAAGATGGGAGTTGAGGTTTGGGCCAGAGGCACAGGGCTGTTTTTGAAGACAGGAAAATCATGTTTCTACACATGGTCTTTACCAAACAACTTCCTATTTGCAGAGTTAAAACCACCCCAACCATTCAGAATACATTATAAAGTTATTCTAGAGAATTGCTTTTTATTAAAAAACAAAAATAGAAGAAGAAAAAAGAAAAACCGAGACCACATCTACTATATGTGGATGGTTTTTATTTGAAAGACAAGAGGGGAATGTTTCTAATTGCTCTATGACTTTGCTTGTCCCTTTCCCTCATAATAATGAAGACAGCAGAATTGTCGAACTTTTACTAAATCTCTTCCAGAACAAGAAACCTGGAGCGAATGATTTTCTTGTGCTGTGATTGCCAATAAAATGGTTGGGTCAATGTATAACTCAAGGGAAAATATCTGAGTTCAGAAATAGGCACAAAGGCAGTTCCTATGAGGGAAAGTACTATCATCTGAGGGAAAGGGCATTTAACCTGGATATCGTAGGCTTTTAAAAATTACTTTATTGATTTCAGGGTACTTATCACATTGGATAAGTAATTGTGATAGTACAAATTGCACACCCAAGTTACTGAGGCCATATGTAGCCAGACGAAACTCTTCAAGTGATAAACAACCCTGTCTCTGAATATCTCTGATCTGGATATACTGAAAAAACAGGATAACTTGGTCCTTCCTAATCCAGTGGCTCTCAGCCATGTATTTCTCTTCCCTAAAAAGACAATTAAAGTATCTGGAGACAGTTTTGGTTGTTATAATTGAGGTGGGGGGGGGGCAGACATACTAGCATTTTATGGACAGGGATACTGTTAAGATCTTACAATGTAAAAGAGCATGCCCACAGTATCAGTAGAGCCATAGTTTAAATACCTTGAACTCAACAGTTTAAATACCTTGAACTCAACATTCTACTTTTTCCCACCAAGGCTTCCCTCTCATTGACTGCCATTTAAATAACATTTGCCAGAATTGAAATGAAAAGCCTTAAAATTCTTTTTGAAAACATAAGTTTTTATAATCTAGGAGCCTAAACTTTCTTAAAAATCAATGTGGGAAGCCAGGCACTGGTGGCTCACACCTGTAATCGTAGCTATTCAGAAGACTGAGATCTAAGCATCATGGTTCAAAGCCAGCCCAGGCAGAAAGTCCGTGAGACTCCTACCTCCAATAAACCACTCAGAAAAAGCCAGAAATGGTGCTATGACTCACTAGCCTGAGGACAAAGAGGTTCAGGCACAGTGCCCAAGCCCTGTGAAATCATCCCCCCCATCAGAAAAAAAAATCAGTGTGAGAAATATGAAAACATGAAGCAATGTTGTGATTACGAAATACAACCTTCAGAAACAAGTATTTCTTACTTTGCTGCAGCTCAACATGTGACAAGAAGACTACATACAGAAGCCAATACTGGCTTTACCACAATCTTTGCATTAGTGAGCAGGATTTGTAAATTCCAGATCACCCATACATAGATGAGATGGAACATGAATAAAAATGAGTAGTCTAACTTCTTTTCCCTCATATGAGGATTCTGAGGTTAAGAGACTTGCCAAGCAACCGATCTTTAATTCCTAAAAAGCAAAGAAATTATTTTAACATGTAACGAAAAGACCAGCTTAAAAATCTTTTGGTTCAAGAAACTGAACCAAAATTTGAATGAAATACATTTTTAAAAAAGAGGTCTAAAAAAGCACATTTTCATCAAAGATGTCCACAACTGTCAGATTAAATAAACTCATTAGAATGAAAAATGATATACCTCTGAATCTAACAAGCATTCCATCACAGAAGTCTTGGAATACAAGCTTCTTAACCATAGTTGAAAATCTTACCTTTCTGTCGTATTTCTTTTTTAGTTATACATTCTCAAATATTTTCATGCTAAATAGCACTTCTCTTCCTCATCTTTTAATATGTTTTAGCTTCAGGCTTGTGAGAGCCAAGCAATAAATTACCACAAAGGCTCATTATATGGAGAAAATTGGAATTGTCAGAGAATAAAATGTACGAAAATGGATCTGAGCCTAGTAGTGTCTATTTTCTCTAAATTTGCTTTTGTAAATTTTTCCATAAGAAACAAAACTCCAGCTAACAGTAATAGGCTATTGTCAATGGAAGATTAATTTTCTGTGGCTGAGGGTATTAGTTTTGAGCTACTCATTATTGTTACCTTGAAACTTTCATATGTGTCTCACCCCTCAAGCTGTTACCAATTAAACTTGAAAGGAATTTTCAATTATGCCTAATGTTTCAGAAAAAGAGCTTTTTAATAATACAGAAAATAAAAAATCTGATTAAAACAAAATTGCAAAGCAGGTCAGAACATTAAAGTGTTTCTAAGTAGAGCATTTAGGAAAATACAGATCGTCTTAATAAGGGAGGCTTTCTTTAATCAATGGGCTATGGATCACCTAAATATTTCTAAATAATTTTGATTTACTAAATCTCTTGTATTGTTTTGAAATGTCAATGATAAAGAAAACCAAGTCTGGGGGAAAATATCATTACTTTTCAGAAGTCATAGCTGATAGTTTTATATTTTACTCAGGACTAAAAAGCCAATAGAAATAAATTTTTTAAGCCATATTCTCTCTTTAAATCATAATAAAATGTAGTTTTAATGGCAAGTAACATTTTAATTGTTACATACTTCGATGAGACTTAACATGGTTTTAATATATAAAAGTCAAAATACAAAACAAATTTAATACCTTTTGGAAGACGATAATATCCTTTTTCCTTTCCTCATTTTAACAATATCTAGACTGTTCCCATTGTTCTCAAGTAGAACATACTCTCACTTTTCATAAAGGTGAACATTGCCAATTATCAAGAAGAAATAGTAAAAAGCTGAAATTTAGTTATTAGCTTTTCCTATTCTTGGTCCATTGCCAAAGAAACTAAAAATAGATTTATACAAAAGCCTGAAGGATGGTAGTTTTCCTCTTCTTTAATAGTATACTTTTATTTATATACCATTGAGCTATTTTTTGTAATACTGGGATTTGAACTCTGATACTCTTATGACTTGAGCCATGCCCCTCAGCACTTCTTTTAATTTGTCAGTCATGGGGCCAGAACTCTGGGCCTGGGCGCTGTCCCTAAGCTCTTCAGCTGAAGGCTAGCACTCTGCCCCTTGAGCCACGGAGCCACTTCTGGCTTTTTCTGTTTAATGTGGTGCTGAGGAATCGAACCCAGGGCCTCATGCATGCAAGGCAAGCACTCTACCACTGAGCCATCTTCCCAACCCCCATTTATTTTTTAAATAGTGTTTCAGGTTTTGCTTGGGGCCAGCCTTGGACCAAATCATACTATCTCAGCCTCCCACATAGTTGAGATTACAGACATATGCCACCATGCCTGTCCATTGGACCTTTTTATACAATTCTATTTATGCTCTCATTGATGGACGAACACATCCACTGAGCTTGGGCCATGCATTGGTGAATATGCATACATGGAAAGCCCTAGTCTGTGTATACAATGCAGTTTGAATTTTCAGAAACTCTCCTTTTCCAAAGGTTTCCCATTCAAGTAACTAGAGAACACAAATTATTGCTTTCCTTGTGGAATTTTTTGTAAAATTAGAAAATGACTCTTTAACACTTTGAACTTCATAAATTTCAATGAAATATTTAAAGTGTTTCCTCCTTTAGTCTTTACCCACAATAGTGATGCCTGCCATATAAGTGGGAGTAGAGAAATGATGGCTTGTTCTCACAAATAAAATTATATTTACAATTTAGCTACGTATATTGATTAGTATTTCTTCTAACCAGTTGTATGGGACAGATTATCTAACATCATCTATGTCACTAAGATGACTTAAATCCTTTTTGGGTAAATCTGATAAATCCATTTCTGGACTGAAATAAAGAGAGAATATGGCCACAAGAAAGCTTTGGGATTTAGTATTTTTCAATGAGTTTCTTTCTCCCTAATCCCCTGTCTCTCATTGAATGCTCTGATTCCCACATGGGTCACTAAATAGGGAGAAATGGTAAGACTGATGTCAAATTGCTTTTTCCTCATTTGCATGCTGTGTGCCATGGGCAGTTAACCCATGCAAATTAGAGCGGCCATGCTTTTGCAGAACTGCTTCCCTTCGCATTGCTCTGAAAGCATGTAAAGTAAAAGGTAGTCAGATACTTAGCACACTGCCTGCAATGTGCCTGGTGATTAAATCCCACGTCATCATATCCATAAGGCTAAGGATTCATCATACCCATGGTAAACTGGGAAATGATCTCTTTCCGTGTTTGCACATTCATTTCAGTGTTCTTGGTCAGGGCTTCTGCCAGGTGACTGGAATTAACATGTGGAGAAAATAAAACATGTATCATTCTGGAAGAAAACTCCTTTCTTACTGTTCCTCCTAATTAATTCAGCTCTGTGGCTATAAATTTCAGTGGCACTAGGCTTGGGAAGAGCCATCATTTGATGTGGTCCCTCTTCTCTCTAGGGAATGATGACACACCAAATGAACCTGGGGAACTTCTCTGTTCTATGACTGATGCTAGATTTTGATACAGTAGTAATTATAGAGGGGAGAGGCCATCCCTGTGGCTTGGGAAGGAGTTCCAGAATACTGGGAAACAATTTCTCATCCCATGGATTTTTCCCATTAACTGAGGGTGCTAACATTACACAATGTGTGTGTATATGTATGCACACAACCTGACATACATATATTTGCACATATATATGCAGAACTAGATAGTTTCAGTCTAGCTATTGGTTTTAAACAAAGTTGAAATTGGTTTCATCTTTCTTTTCTAGCTTCTACACGCTACAAACATCGTTTTCTTAGTTCCATGCAGTAACTATGTTTGTCACAGTTCTCTATAGAGCTTTTTATTTTTTATTTTTCTTTGTTGCTTAAGCTGGAGCTCTGACTTGCTGAGAGATATAGCTTTGGTTCTATCTACGATTCATAGGCTGAACAAACTTCTCTTTTGTAGGATCTGACGGCATTAGCCAAAGAATTAAGAGAACTCCGGATTGAAGAAACAAACCGTCCACTGAAGAAAGTGACAGATTACTCTTCCTCCAGTGAAGAGTCAGAGAGTAGTGAAGAAGAGGAGGAAGATGGAGAAAGTGAGACTCAAGATGGGACAGTGGCTGTCAGCGACATACCCAGACTGATGTAAGAAAACTGGTTTGTTGTTCTGTTTTGTTTACTTCATACTCTCCCTGTGTTGTCCAGGCTAACTCAAACTGCTTAGTTATTACCCCCTTGCCTCAGCTTCCCAAGTAGGTGGGACTATAAGCAGTATGCCTCATCATGCCTGCCCCTGGACTGCTTTCTAAATATAGACCACGATAGGGGCTGGAACTCCATGACAGGAAATACAACCTAAATATAAAGCATGTGTGGGTCACTGGCAAGGTGAATTGATTTGAGGATTTGGTTCTTACTAGGACACAGTTCTGTAATGACATGCATTCCAGACACAACTGCATAGAATGTGTAGCATGTGTAGGCCTAGGTTTGCCTATCTGGAAACTCACTACTACCTTTGGGTTGACTGTTTTTTATAGGTTCCATTCATCTTCAGGGAAAATAGTATTGACAGCCAGACCACTAACACATTCCTTTTTTCCTCAGATGAAAAGAATGAAATCATGGACAATGAAATTTAGGGATTAAAATGAATGACAAGAGATATACGTTCCCTCACTACCACTGCCACCAACCAGTAAGAGCACTGCCACCATATGGCAGCATGGCTTAGCACACCCGAAAAAAGAACCAGGAGTCAAATAACAATGGCATTTGAGTCTATAAGTCTGTCATTCTCTTCTTTGTCTCTTTTTCTCAATCCATCTTCTGACCACTGTCTTCATCACATACATTCTGTCAATCTCTACGTAGTTTTCTCTGTGTATTTACATCTCTGCCCTACCTACCTATATCTCCTTTAGTATTTAGTTTTCACATTTTTTTGTTTTTTGCTGTTTTTGTTTTTCTTTTTCTCATTGGAATAGATCCTGGGGGATGGTCCTGTCTTCTCTTCCTTCCCTAAAGCAGAACAAGGTATCATTGCCCTGATTTGCCATTAGATAGAATTTGCCATTGATAGAATGTAATGCTAACTTTCCCAGCTTCATTTTTCATTCACTTCCATTTCTAGCGTAGCTACAGTATTGATAATCAGAGCATATTCAATACAGGTGGAGAG